ATGTGACAGTGGGTTCTTTTTTCTACATGTGTGAACTTTGTTCTTTTTTCTTCAAATCCCCGATGACAAGTGCTCTGAAGAAAAATAAGTAAACATAGATACAGACATTTTTAGAGGGGGGGGGGCAAGCAAGAATATTGTTATCATCTGCATCATAGCCTGAAAGGAAAGAAAAGTATCATCAGGAAAAAATGAAGACATATTTGTGCCATCACGGAAAGAAGAGTTTTAGGGCATAGAGGACACTGACATAAGTATGATTTATACTGTCTGTCAACAAGCACAAGATATTACTGATAAAAGATCGACTGGTTGTACTTCATATAAAAGTGAATTTTATAAGCCATTGGGAATCTTGTGTCCATATCAAGCCTGCTTGTGAAACTAATCGAGTTACATCAGGGAAATGAATGACAGCAATAGAACTGTCATGGATCGCGTTTTTTAACACGATTTTAATAGAAAGTGTCATAGTGAGTAAATCGTCCACTAAACCTTTAAATTAAGCCATGCCAATAAAAACAGGTATTTAGTTTCGTTGCTGGCTTAGTTTAAAATTGAGTAAAGATTATCTTTTTTTATTAATTATATGGTTTTATATATTAAAATAATTATATATCACAGTTACTTCGTTTATTACATATTCACGAGTGCATGTTTAGTGAATTACCGATCAAAATTGTCGGCAGTTTATGATCCAGGCTTATTAAAGTTTAAAATCACCTGCATATTATACCACCAACTTACTTTATAGAATCGGTCACAAAACAAAAGACTTTTAGTCCTTGCTATGATAAAATTCTCAATATCTATCTGCCATTAAAATTATTTTTTTCAGGCTTAGCACCTACATTACCCTTGACAAAAAACTTCAAAATGCATGTGCATTTAGCGTAATGTTTCATGAGAGTATTCAAGAGTTGGAAGTAATATATGTTAAAATTGTGGAAAATGTTGTTCCAGTAAGTCACTATGACAAGACCAAAGAACTGGCACATGTTTATGCTAATGGTGTTTTTTGGTGTGACAGACAGTACCTTCACAGAGGTGGTGGGTCCTGATTGGAGAGGCAAAGTAGTTGGTGCGGCGTGAGATGGCGTTTCGGTTAATTTAAGATAAAAAAAAAAATCGTGTTGCTACAAGAATAAGAAAAATGGTCATGAACATATCTATATTGTGCAAGCTACAGACTGGGTTTTGATGTGCTCTCAGCAAGTAAAAGAGTATGAAGAATTGAAAAAATGTTTGGGACATCTTACAAAAAATATATAAACATCACCATAGTTCACCTAAAGCCTTACGTGAGTTCACAGCTTTGGCAGATGTTTTAGAAGAGGGTGTTCTCAAACCAGATTGGCTCAGTGGCACAAAATGGGTGCCACACATCAACAGGGCTCTGGGAATTTTCAACATTTTCAATATGCCAATCACCAGGGTACTGACAAAGTAAAAGAAAGAGCTAAATACATTGCAAGATTACTGAAAGACTTCAGAATGTTGCATTTTCTACCAGATGTTTTCAACAGTGAGTCTTGTGCCTTAAGAACCTAGTACCACTGCAGCTGATTGTTCTTGATGCCCTAGAAACTGCCAATCTTGAGATGGCTGCACTTTCACAGCGGCCAGGCCAGTGTCAGCAGCAGTTCCTGCAGGAAGTTGCCCCAAATGGAATGTATGGAGGAATCCAACTGTCGGATAAGACCTGAGTATGAGCAGCCTTTTGCTCACTTTATTGAAAGGATTCAAGAACAACTGAATTAAAAGTTTGAGACCTGATTATAGACCTGAAAGACTGGGCACAAAATTAATACCTATGGAAGTGTAGCTGTGGATATTTTGGTTAAAAAACTTTGACACTTTGCTGCACTTCATGGGCTGTGATGTCACCAAAGTGGCAATTTAATGGATGAAAGTGAAGGGTTATTTTGCACCAAAATACAAAACAGCACAGCACGTTAGGAAGGCCTCTCCACCTGATCTAACTATCAGCACTTTGTTTCAAAAATGTATACCAGCAGAAATTACCAAACATTCTCATGGTCTTTGAGGTGGTTCTTCTGATTCTAGTGTCCTCTTAAGTGGGCAAGAGAGGTTTTACCACACTTCAGAGCCAAGACAGATGGGAGATCCTTCCAAGAAGTAGACGCAGTAGATCTCTTGATGATGGTAACAATTGAAAGACCAGATATTGATGATTATCGTCTAGCCACAATTGTTCAGTTGTGGTGGACAAAGGTGAAGTGGAAGATAAGAGTGAAGTTTATTGAACAGCATGAACTAAATGATGATTATGATTACCATCTGCTTACCATTTAAGAAAATGACTGATTGCATTCGTGTATTATATCTGTATCGAGAAAACTGTGTACAAAATAATGTTTATTATGTAAACTATTGTGTTTACAGAAATCTAGTTCAATTTTTTTTTCATACATTTTAATTGTTTTTATAAACAGCAATAATTATACATTGAAGAGTAGTTACTGTATTATTGTTATCACAATTTTTATTTTTAAAAAGCTTAAACCAAAATTAAATATCATGAAATTGATGACTTTATACTTTTTTTTTATCAAGAATATGAAAGAGATCATTTATTCGAGGACAGGTCAAAAACGTAACAGGACTGGTAAATTTTGTTTGTTACTTGTCCCATGGTCAGCATGGTGAAAAAGTTAATGTCAAGCCCTGCTAAAAGGTAGAATAATGATTATGATTGACTCAAGTGTAGTCTTCTCATAAATATCTGATTAAAGAAAAATCGGGTGAAACCAATTTTCCAAGATAATTTTGAGATAAGATATGGCATTTCTTGTAGTATCTTGTGAAATAATGCACAAAGTTGCATAAGAGGCTGACTTTGCTGTACTCACTGCAGGGATCAAACTCAAGATCTCAAGCTTACATCTGAGTCACTGAGAGGCTTGTGGTTACAAATATTAATTCTAACATCTAAAGGAAAGAGACCATAAAAAACAGTACCCTTAACTTTGTTATTTTAATTTTATTCAGACAGCAAGGCCAAAAACAAAATATTGGACATAAAAGACAGGCAAAAAAAATAGAAAGCAAACCCCAGTGTTGGAAGGGTAAAGTGTAGTTAAAGAGGGGTACTTGCAGAAGTAGAACTCGCACGACTGTAGAGATGCACCATCTGTAAAATTTTACCTCTGTTTATAAACCTAACGTGGAAGAAATGCAGGTTCTCCAGAACCCAATGTTCCACATCTAAATTACCATTGACTTTGCAGCAAGTTGTTTGAAGGTATTTGTTACTCTTAATGGAATTATAAGAGTAAAGTTAAAAGAGGTTACAACAACAGTTGGACCGCTGAGCATAATAAGAAAACCTTGTGTCTTGAAATTTCCGATCATGTCTCTCTAATGATCACATACCGACATTATTAAACCGTAAGAAGATCTTCAACCTAAAAATTACTACTAATAAGTCAATGAAAAAGTAATTTTATTCCCATGTGTAGTAAACTCATCCATTGTTAGTTACTGCTGTTAAAAATAACACTTATGTCAGGTTAAAAGGTCACATTCCTCCCATGCCGAGATGTCACATAGGATCTAATGCTGAACTCTGGCTTAATTGGCACAAGAAAATAAATTATGAATATGGTGATGCATTCCACCTGTACTGGATGCCAGTCCATCACAGGTTAACCCCCAGCTAACAGCTGGTGTAACGGTCATGCAGATACTTAGACTGGAACAATTAGGGTTAAGTATCTTGCTCAAGAACACAGCACCTGGAACTTGCAACCTAACATGCATGTTCTAGTAACAAAAGATAATTTTAACACGATTCGTGACACTTTAGTTTTGGCTCCTTTCGTGAACAGTTGTATGAAAATATGTCAAATTGTTGTTTTATATAATCTAACCTTTTAAGCACTATAAATTTTGACTGCTTTTTTGAAGTATAGAGTAAAAATTCCATTTTTTTTATTTCTTCAATAGTAGAAATTTTTAATTCAGACAACTTGGGTTTTATTTTTTTTTGTTCATGAAACCATTATGGTGGACTGGTTTGTAAGTTTCAGAGATAAGTGTTAAACTTGCCATCCACAGTAAATCCAGTTGTTAGCCTGTTCTTTTTTTTACTCATTTCCTCATTTTGTAAGGAATAACTAACTTCCCACAGATTGCTGCAGATGTTTAACAGAAGCTTTAAGCATCCAAATCTGCTTCTTTCTTCTTCTTCTTTTTTTTTACAAATCAAGTTCACAAATTGTTTAGATCTGATGTACTATGGTAAATTCTACCCTTCAAATGGTGTAGTTGGTGCCCTGGTTTTACCTGTCTGTCCTGTGTGCAAAATGTTTTTGGCCTATTCTGAACAGTTTTCAGTATCAAGTTATCAAAAACTGTGTAATTCTCTTTAAAATCAAAGTTTCTAAACTATTTCTCTTTAAAACCAAAGTTAACATACTGTGTAACTCTCCATAAAGCCATAGTTAAAAAAAAACTGTTTAACTCTCTTTAAAGCCACAGTTAACAAATTGTGCAACACTGCATAAAGCCACAGTTTTCAGACTCGGTAACTCTCTTTAAAGCCACAGTTTTCAAACTCAGTAACTCTCTTTGAAGCCACAGTTTTCAAAGTCAGTAACTCTTTAAAACCACAGTTTCCAAACTGTTAACTCTTTAAAACCACAGTTTCCAAACTGTTTAACTCTTTAAAACCACAGTTTCCAAACTGTGTAACTCAACATAAAGCCATGGCTTCCAAACTGTGCAACTCTGCATAAAGCCACAGTTTTCAAACTCAGTAACTCTCTTTAAACCCACAGTTTCCGAACTGTTTAACTCTCCATAAAGCCACAGTTTTCAGACTCAATAACCCTCTTTAAAGCCACATTTTCAGAACTGTGTAACTCAACATAAAGCCATGGTTTCTAAACTGTGTAACTCTGCATAAAGCCACAGGTTTCTAAACTGTGCAACTCTGCATAAAGCCACAGTTTCTAAACTGTGCAACTCTGCATAAAACCACAGTTTTCAAACTCAGTAACTCTCCATAAAGCCTCAGTTTCCAAACTGTGCAACTCTGCATAAAGCCACAGTTTCCAAACTGTGTAACTCTCCATAAAGCCACAGTTTTCAAACTCAGTAACCCTCTTTAAAGCCACAGTTTCCAAACTGTGTAACTCAACATAAAGTCAGCATTTATTTATTTTTTATATGTAATCGTAAAACAGCTTAGAGCAGCTTGTTTTTTTAGTTTCTAGAGGATTTTTTGTTGTTTAAGTAGAATTGTGTTTGATGTGAAGCGTGATTGTAATGAATTCATTATCTGTTTTTCAGGATGAAATTCTGGTCGTGTTGCACAAAAAGGACAACAGATTTTGAAAGTTTCTTAGAGCAGGAAGGCTGTACAACTGGTAATCATGTCTGGATTAAAAAAAAGGTAATTTTTTTATGATGTAAGATTCTTGTTTCTATAGTCTTTGTTCATTGACCATAGTCATGAAAATTTAATTAATACAAAACGTTAGATGTACATCAATAATTCTAAGAAACAATCATACATTATAGAGAATGTTTGTTTGTTTTTTTCTATTGAATTAACATATTTAAATAATTTACTGAAATATACAACAAAATGTCTGAGAAATTAAGTACAGAATTGATCAAAGTCTGAGTCCTAGGTAACAATCCTTAAACTTTTGAGAATGTTTTGAAAAAAAAAGCAAATTTTTGTGGTGTACGTGTTATATTTATACTCATTATTACATCTGAAGGCAACCTGACCCAGAGGCCAACCACCGTGTTAGAAAAATAAAGTTGTCTTAGCTGAAGATGACTTCTACCCTGCCAAAATTTGTATTTGTGTCACCTAGTCTCAGCATTACATATGAAAAAAGCTTAACAACGTTAAACACCACCATAAAATGTTGGTTTCTACTCTCAAGAGAAAACAAGCGTAGAGATCTTTACCTATCGTTGTATAAGAACCTCTCCATCCTAGGTATAATCTTTGAAGCCCGTCTCTCTATATTCATTATTTCTGTAGATATAATGTAAAATATTATTTACCCTGCCAATAGCAGGTTAAGAGACTGATGAACCAGACTACCAAGATCTTTTTTTTTTTTTCTTCTGTGACACTGTTAAGGCTATTTTCATCAAAATTATTCTAATCATTCAAATTGTGATATCTCGTTTGTATTACGTTGCTTTTATTTTGATTAAAAGCCATCTGCCATTTATTTGTCTACTCGCCATATGACCTAACTCCTTTTGTAAAGCAGTATCATTCTCCTCACAACCAGCAGTCTTTCTAAAACCTTTTCCACCACTGACGTAAGAGTTAAAGATCTATAATTACTGGAACAATTTTTGTCCTTTGAAAACTGGAGTAACATTAACCGACTTCCAGTTTTCCTGGCACCTGCTCGCTATTCGAGGACTTAAAAACATAGTAGCAAGTAGCTCATATATTTTAGGGTATAATGAATATTCTACTCGTGTTGACATGTGGTTTTGTTATTTATTTCCAGATTATTTCCATCCTGACTTGGCCCGGCATGGCCAGGTGGTTACAGTACTCGACTCGCAATCTGAGGGTTGCGGGTTTGAATCCCCATTCCACCAAAAATGCTTGCCCTTTCAGCTGTGGGGGCATTATAATGTGATGGTCAATCCTACTATTCATTGGTAAAAGAGTAGCCCAAGAGTTAGTGGTGGATGTTGATGACTAGCTGCTTTCCCTTTAGTCTTTCGCTGTTAAATTAGGGACGACTAGCACGGATAGCTTTTGTGTAGCTTTGCTCGTAATTCAGAACCAACCAAATGAATCCTGATTTAATGCAACAATTTAATTTATGAATTTTTGGGTTTGTAATTTACTGGTAGCTTGACTAGTTAATTTTCAAAATGATTAGTTCAATTTGATTTTTGATAACTTGCTTATTTTCATTGTGACTATTTGCTACTCATATCTACACATCTCTTGTCTGTATGCACAATGCTTTCTAAACTATTAATTATTGGGCCTTTTTGCCACTGTAGAACAAAACATTATAGTGCTTTTATGAATTATAAGGTACTATCAAACTTCAGATATTTTAGAAGAATAAGAAAAAAAATTGTTTTTTTAATTCTATTCCAAATTTTTTATCCACATATAAAATATATAGAATGTTTGTTGTTTTTTTTTGCTATGGTAAAAATATTTCTTTGGTTATTGATAAATTAAAATGAAATTATGAATTTTACGTTTAACTAATTTGCTTATCTTTAACAACTTTCTTCACACAGTTTGGATGTTTAAGCCTAAAAATACATTTGGTAGACTTAATAAAGTTGTTAAACTCAGTAATTTTAATTTGCTTAGATGTTTTTATAATAAATGTTAATTACATACACAAGTTATAATTCCACTTCAAACTGATTCTGTTAGCTATAAAACAAAACTGAGGGTGTGGGTATAGACTAAAATATCTCTTATTTATTAAGTAATTTTGATTTATCTTCCAAATCCTGGAAGTTTGCTCTAACAATTAATTTTTTCTTGCTTTATAATGATTGGATGTGAACTTGAGAGGAAGATTTTAATAAATCAACGATTTTTGATATTGAGCTTCAATCTATTGATTCCTCTCGTTGTATTGTTTGGTTTAATACTTTTTTGTCAGAAAAATATTTATAGTACATAATTTAACAAGTCATCACTTTATTAGGTGAGCATGTTTATGTAATAAAATGTAAAGTTATGACTAACGTTTGAGCAGGAAAACATTTATATATGATTTCACAAGTATAGATTAATTTATGGAGAAGGCAAACTGATCGTTAGTTTCGTCTCCACAGAGCACTCAGGAGAATAAAGTATCCTGTCGATATGACTGGCACCAAACTGGATCTTATGTTGTTGTGACAGTCTACTCTAAAGTCCCAAATCCTGACCTTTCCTTTGTAGAAGCCAACCCTGTCAAGCTTCGTATGTACATTATATTTGGAGAAGAAAGAGAGGTATTTGACATGGAGCTAATTCTTTCAGGGGTAAGTATACCTAGATGAGTTAAAGGGTTGGTTTACTTGTCTCGTGAATGAATGCTGATTGCTAATGCTACCAGTTGACTATAGGCTTAATAGTCTGTGGTATGTTACGTACAATCAAGAAGTTCAAGGTATTGCATGATTTGCATATAATTGAAAACATTATCACGAAAAGTGGTAAATTTTATTAGTAATATTGGGATAATATCACTGATTTATGTCACCAGTATTGCTAATTTTTAACATACAAGACTCTCTTATCCAGAAAGTTGGATTTTTTTTATACATTACTTATTTCAAGCTATGTATATAAAGCATCAATTTAAGCACAATGGATATTCTGTAATTATGAGAACTTAAAAAAAAAAAGTTTAATAAAATGTTTATATTTGCTATATCCAGTGCCAACTAAGAATTAAGCCTTGGCAGTAAAATTAATTAATAATTCAGCAAATTGTAGGTATATAAGTATTTTGCGAACAATATTTTTGTATGAAAAACATTTTTCCTCAGGTAATTGATGTAGAGAAAAGCTCTGTCATCTTTCTGGGAAGCAAAGTAGAAATTAAAATGAAGAAGGCAGAACCTATGAGCTGGAGAAATTTAACTTTTCCGACCAAGAAGCCGGAAAAAGTTGAAGAAATAGATGATGATAACTTAAGTGACTAAGACTCGTTATGTGATTATGTTCGTTAATTTTTACAGTATTAGATTGTATTTGTTTATCTTGTGTGTTCATCTCAAGTAGCTATCAAAGTACATACATTGGAGATCTAGTTAATGATTATCTCTGTTTTTTTATACATCATTTGCAGATGAAAAACTTCATAATTGTACGAATGTCATTTTTTGAAAGGAATGAATCATATACATCTCTCGGCAAGCTTTCTGTCCTTGGAAAATATTTTAAAATATTGTATGTGCTAAACACCTACATAGTCTATATGTAGCTGTAGTTCTTAACCATTGTTAAATAGAAAAAAATAAGATTTAGATGTGTCGTTAATTCTTTTCATTACAATTTCTTATGTTTTATGATAATTTGCAAATTTATTTAGAGTAAATTACAAACACTTACAACGTAGTCAAACAATTTCTAGTAGTTAGAAAAAGTAGGATTTTATATGTTTGAATTCTTATCTTATTAAAAGTCAATAAAATATACCAATCAACATAGCCTTTGTTTTACTGTAATTTAATTGCTTTACAAGAGCTACAGTGATAAGATTTTTTGTCGTGAAGTTCACTTTTGTAACAATATGGGAAGAAACTATAAAGTTATCGAAATATGCTTCATAAAAAGATCCGAAAACGTCCATCTTGTTCAATGACTGAAGTGTAATTAATTTAAAATGGTTAATTGATGAAAGATGATGGAGTTTAAGTTTGGAAAACCATAAAATTTAAAAGTAGAAAAATTTAGAGTGAATTAAACGCTGTCCTGTTTAGCGAAAGTTCAAAGCTGTCGTGTAACTTGTATAGGCAAATTGTATTTTAAAGCTAATTTGGAATTAGTACAAAAATATGGAGAAAAGTTTGGATGTTTCTGAACTTATTATCAATATACATATAATTTTAGCAGTATCAAAAAATATGAATAACTATAGCAGATGCTTCTAAGTTTGCACTTGTTGTTGTTGTTGTTTAAGTATAACTTCATATACAACTGAAGATTTATTGGTGGAAAACACTCATAGTAGGAGGACTATAATATTTTCGTATTTCATCAAAAAAATTTTAAGGACCTTTTATAATATTCGGTAATGCCTTATGAAATTTATACTGTATGCTACTTGGGGTTTTAGATAATACCATTTAAATCTGAATTATTGTTCCATTTTATGAATAAAGAAAATTGAAGCATATCTTGACTCGCATCAGTTCAACTCAAAACGAGAATAACTCAAAGCAATAATATAAACAATGTGTTTAGATCTAATAGATGTAATAGATGTAATAGTGCATAAAAGTTAATTGTGGAGTTGACAATAATAATGTGTAAGAAACCAAAAAAAAAAGTTACAGAAATATGAGTTAATGATTTAGAACATCCATATGATTTTCTAAGCATTAATCTTTATATTTTATTATTTTTATGATCTTTCAACGTTTCTCTCTAATTGGTGGACTATTGTACAACAATATTTTGTGTTGAATCTGTAAATTTGTTAATCAGTTTGTCACCTTTTTTTTAACTGTTTTACTTTGTTTTTATCTTTACTTGAAATACGAGTTTATTTAAAGTGTACAAGAATTTTGAATATCAAATTTAATTCTTCTAATGTTGGAAGAAACAATGCCATGTATCTCTGTTTACTGAACACACTGAACCTGTGTTATTTATCTGTAAAAACTGGATCAGTAGAAAAGTCCTTAAGATCGTAATTAACAAAAGGTTTGGAAAATTTGTATGCATGGGAATAAAATTACACTCAATATAAAGAAATGGAGACTACAAACAGATGTTTTGCTTTGAGACAAAAACAATATTTGGATGTCACTACAGTAAAAAAAAAGCGGTGAAAAATGATATATTGTTGCAAACAGCTGGCTTTTCTCATTTCATCAGCAACAAGATGTAATATGTTAGTTCACAATATGAACACTCAGCTAATACAGACCAGAAACTAACTATGCTAAGGATTATATTAAATCCTACGGTTTATAAGAACTTTTCACTTTTGCCCTGAATTAGATCAGTCCCATAGAAATAAAAAAAAAACGGGAAGAACAGTGTTCTTGCATCACTGTTATTCAAAACCAGTGCAGTAGCTAATCAAGCTGCCATGAAAGATGATGAATATGTACCTGGACCGAACTTATGTTACATGTGACAACTTCTGAAATAATACTTGAGTAATTATATTTTTTTTCCAATTGAGAAGAAAAAAAAGACTAAAATGTTTGCTTCCTGAGCGTAAATCAACTTTTAAATTGAAAATCATTTGCACTGTTGCTAAGCTATGTTACTGTCTGTGAAATCACATAAAACAAATATGACTTTCATCATTGGACTTTTTTTGTGTGTGTGTATTTTTGTCAAAAGTGTATAAGAGGCTTAACTGAATGTGCTTGGGGTTGGTCCATTGGGCTAACCCTGTACTGGAGATGGAATGTAATTCCGAAGTTATTACATGCATCTGCACAAAGTGTGGTAAGGTTGTAGTAATATTTATAAATCTGTTGTACACACACAACTCGGATATCTTACACAAGTATTTGTACTCAAGATACGACTGTGAATTAACAGTAGTCTGGTACAGATTCTGACAAGTCAGAGTACAAAGTGATGTTTGTGTGACAAAAAAAAAACTTTTATCCATCATACAGTTTGCATTTGCATAACCTCTAGAACCCCCAAAATGCATATCTACAGTATTTGTCTATGTCAAATCTGGTATTTACTCTCCTCTACCATGAGCTGTTGCTAAATGAGTAATATAGGGTTAAATGAATAGTTGATAACTCTGACATCAAGACATAAAATCATGTTGAATGACACTCTGAAAAGGGTCAAAACGTGTGCACTTTAACCAATACCTGTGCAGAGATGTGCTCTACTAGCTCCCAAAGTGTCATATTAAGTTGGGAGATTGGTTTAGCTAGTATAATTGACATTTCAAACATTGGAGATACAGACGAATGTGCACTTGAAAGGAATAGGCATCCAAAATTTGGTGCTCGGTATGACTCCAAAAATATTGGTCCTGATAAAGAGAAAATCAAAGCTTTTTTGATTGTGGTGTGGCTGAAAAAATCCCACGAACTTTCAGCTGAGTAAATTCTCACACAATTGTAGACACACCACCCAGATGGGTAAATGCCCCCATCAACTTTTGAAATAAATAACAGTGCGACTCGAATGTTTTCTAAGCAGAAAAAAGCAATGGGAAATGCATTGTCGAGATAGCACTACAAAGTACGACGAACATGTTACGGAGAAGTTTTTACTTGTGATATAGAACATGGTGAAACTGGGACCCCTGATAACACCATATTGTCAAACTAAGCTTGCACTACTAATAACACTGGCAATTTATCAGTACCAAAAGCCGGACATGGAGGTGTGGTTGATCATTTCATACAGCTGTCTGAAATCTGGAATTTTAGAGACAAGCATTTGATTGAAAGTACACCCACCTAACATTTATGAACCATTTCCAACAGACCAACATATTTGATGTAATGTCTTACAGCTTCATAGCATATGTATTAATCTACTAGTAAACTTCCTACCATGAAGGGCCTAGCACGTATTTATTTGTCAGTATAGTTTATAATGGGAATCCACTAGCAAATAAAGCCTTTGATACATTTTTGTACTAAACACTTTTATCTGTTTACATTAGTATGATTCTGTATATTTTTTTAACTCAGAATTAACCTACGTTTCTATCTATCACCTCCTAACCCTTAAACATCCATATTGCCCTCTAAAGTGATATTCACATTGGCAGAGGTCCCCTGTTTGAAGGGCAACATCTTTGTGATCAAAAGACACCTCAGAAATGTTCTTAATAATGCATTTTTATCTTTATCGAATTACAATCAGGAAAAGTTGGTGAAAATGTATAAACACGACTTTTATTACCAATTGGCCATTAAATTTTAGAACATTTGTTTGTTTCTTATTGATATTTCAATGTAAGACACACATTCAATGGTGTTCATCTTGACAGCTACTTCTAACAGTTTTATCTTACTTATATCTGTGCTTGTTTTTCTATAATATCTAATTAAGCTCTCTCATCCTATACATTTGTGTACCTTTAAATAGAAACGTTTACTAAATCTGCAGATACCTTTCAAAGAGCTGAAAATTGATTTTGCAATGATCTACGAGTACAAAAAATAAAAATTTAATACACATGGATTCTAAAGAGGTTACACAAAACAACAGTAATTAGAGGGTTCGTCAAATTACAGGAAGTTTTTAGCTATAAACAGTTTATGCACAGAAAAGCATTGAAATCTGGTAAGTAATTTTAGATTTACTTGTTTTATAGAGTACAGCATACTAATATATAGGAAGATCAAGTACTAATACATTTATTGGAATATTCGACTACGAACGCTGTAGTTACATCACTCACAGTATATAGTTTGGTATATGGGCATATCATATTTTTACACTATATCTTTAATAATGTATGAATTTTTAAAGTTATTCATTTAGTCTTTTCTCTGTGCAGTTTTGGCATTAATGCAAAATCGTTTGACAGCCATGTACTTCACTGGTCGAATAGATGATATCTTGAGGTTACAGCCTTTGGTTGTTGTAGAGAACAACCAGTCACGTAGTAATGCATAGCAAGTCTGGCTAAAACTGAGGTTACCTGTTATAGTGAAGAGCATTAGGTTTGTTCAGTTCTACTTGGTTTTGAGAATAAAGTACTTGTACAGAGATCTATCTTGAGGGAAAGAGGCTTTTATACCATTCATCATTCTATTAGTAAGGTGATTGTCTTGTGTCTATGCAAAGGTACACTTTTCTTTTCTTGCTTTGTGTTCTAATTAAAGATTACACTTTCTAAGACGTATCTCCAGTCTAGTTGTTTCTTACAGCTTAAAACTTGGTCATTTAGTCAAATTCAGGTTACTTTACTTCACAAATTACCTGCTTGATCTTCCAATTATAAAGTGAACTTATCTGTTATTTGCATGAAAATCACTTTCCCTGAGAACACTACAGTTAGATAGGAAGGAGAAATTTTGGTGCTGTGACCAAAGGATTTATTGTAGAGTTTTTGTCTTTGCTAATGTGCATACTGGCCCTTGCTTGATTTCTTGAGTATACAAGTTCAAAGAAATTAATTTGCTTTAACAATAGCTTATTTCCAGATCAGAAGTATTCATGATCAATGAGAGTTTCTTACTGGAGAGAACGAGACATTTTTTGTTTTTTGGTGTTTTGTGCACAGTTATGTGAGGGCTATATGCACTAGCCGACCCTAATTTAAAAGTGATAAGACTAGAGAGAAGCTTGCCAACTCTTGGGCTATTCTTTTACCAACGAATAGTGGGATTGACTGTCACATTGTAATGCCCCATGGCTCAAAGGTTGAGCATGTACAAGAGAGGTATCAAATCCAAGAGAAGCCCTCTCTTGGACATTATAATTTCACCAATACTGTGAAAAGCACTAACATCAGTCAGTCAAATACACAGGAAGATTGGTCAACATCTGATGCATGTACCCAGATTATTAGAATTGAACCATACCCCTGAAGATCCCTCTTATCCTAAGAGAAGTGAGCAATTGGGGTTGCTGAGGTGGAATGGCATCTGGTTATTCAGCGATCACTTGGAGGAGATCTATCTACAAAGCTCATAGTCAATCAGAGTACCACAATCCCAGCCAAGAAGGACCAGAAGTTATACTGGAGGATAACCTCCACCAGTTAGAGCTGTTTCCTTAGCACGTGAGACATTGAGCACCCATGATCAAAGATTATGAACCATGTGAGCCTCTCAGAGCTAGGAATATCCTGCAACGATAACCAGAAGTTGTGATGAAGCCTGAGGATGTGCAGGGTTATATGATGTATTGCTGAGAGCAACTCATTGTCCTGAACATGGGTCCGATTTCTAGCATGAATGTCAGAGTTCCTTATCATCCTGCAGTTTCTAAATATGCCTATCACGCTGCACCTGCAACATTGGCGGAATCTCAGCCAAATATGGACTAAAAACCACATGGGGGAGGGTTTAGCCAGCACCATAGGTCCTTGTGAGTGAATCCAAGCATGTTTTTGCCCCAAATGTTCAAAGGTGCAGTGAAAGGAGACCTAGAGTATAAGTTAAAGCATTTCAGGCATGAAATTGCTGGACTCAGAAGCAGGAAGTCAAATTCTTGATTCTGAAT